CAAAACCATGCTGATTGGAGCAAATTACACGCGCTAAAGTATAAAACAGCCTATTTTTTTATTATAACTTCAAAGAGCTTTGAAACTGTAGTTAGTTTAGAGATCGGACGGTAGTTGCTGATATCACTCTTAATACCACTTTTAAATATCGGCGTGATGGAGGTATGCTTCCATTCCTCAATAAAAATGCCTGACGATAGCGACTTATTTAAGATACATTTTAAGGGTTCTACTAAGGAAACGCAATTCTTTAACAAAATAGCAGACATGCCATCTTCGTCTGTATGACAAGAATGTTTAAGATTCTAAATACCATCAATAATATCTTCGTCTGTGAGAATCAGAGAGCCTACATCGAAGGAAGCACACCCCATATTGTTAGTTTCACTATCCGCAATTAGCTCACCAACCACATCATCTGATACAAAATTTGAGGCAAAGAAATCTGCAAAAAGGTCAGCTGCCTCATATAACGAGGCTGCCATAGCATTCTTATAAAAAACCGAGGTGGGAACATTAGATACACCCTTCATAGACTTAATGTAGTTCCAGAAACATTTTAGATTGCTTTTAATGCTTCTTTCAAAATTGGCAATGTAACCCCTATAGCAGGACTTATTGAGAGTATTAAACTGATCTCGGTAACTAGTATAGGAAACAAAGCGTGTGCTGTCCTTAGTTAGCTTACACTTTTTAAAGAACTTATTTCTAAGATTCTTAAGACGCTTCAACTCCCTCGTGTGCCAAGGTAGCTTGCAAGACTTTTTGGCATGAACAGGTATATACATTTTACTTTGATTAAAAATAATATTCCTGAATTCATTAAAACAAAAAGCAGCATCGCCTGACCCAAAAACATCATTCCAATCAATAGAGGAAAAGTTATGGTCAAGAAAGTCAAAGTCACAAGAGCCATAGTTAAAGGAAACCCTGTGCATATCTCTAGGAATGCAAAAGTATTCAAAAAACTCAATCTCCAATATTAAAGGAAAATGATGCATATTAGGCGGGAAAATTGCGGTACAGGGCAAATATAATTTAAACTTAATGTTATTGCTAACAAAAATTAGGTCTAAGATCCGATTTAGACTATTACAGAACCCACTCACTTGTATTAAATCGATACTTAATAAATTATCAACTAAGTAGGACTCGGTATTCCTGCTAATATTAGATGGAGTTAAATACATGTTGTCATGAAAATAGGTCCACGAAATATTGCTAAGGTGAAAGTCCCCTAAAACACATAACTGGTGAGTACTAATTTCCGATTGTAGAGCACTAATGTTATCGACATGAGTACAATAAATGCGATCCTCACTGGCTGGCGGCATATAAGATGCGCAGAGGTATAGCAATCCGGAGGCACCTTTCAGTCGCACACAAAGCGGATCAAGCATGGAATCGGTGCATTTTAATGCTACTGAAGACGCTTGAAGTTCACAATGGGAGGCAATTAGCACGTCCCCACCTCTAAAGCAACCAGTTTTTACGGCATCTCGATCCTTACGGAAAACGTCATAGCGGTTCAGATCAAAAAACTCAACATCGAAAATTTTTTTATTAAGCCATGTCTCGATAATGACAAATACGTCATACTCCAATTGCGAACTCAGCAGGCGCATATCCTCTGACTTGGTTATTAAACCTGAGGCATTGTGAAAGTATATTTTAATAGATTTGCGGCCATTAGAAGCCGGCTCCGCTAAGCTGTTTGTTGATCGGGCAATGTTTTCTCGAAAAAACGAAACGGACGAACGGCCACATTGACAGGCCAGAGGTCTGAGTTTAATATAGATTCAAATGAGTACTCAGGAACACCTAGTTTGAAATTTATCCTTTTCAAGTCAGCATCAGGTGTACCTTTTTTACCAGCTTGTAGCAAGACATACTATTTTTATTGACAGTGAGTGCTTTGCGACATATTCAATAATATTATTCTCCGTAACTGATTTTGAGAAGGAAGATAAATGCAACCACTTGAGTCGAACTGCAACCTCCAACTCAATATTTGAATTAGCGCCCCAAACAGTCTTCTTATTCAGGTTTGTACGCTTTTTTTCTCCACTGTGGACCACTGTGCACCATTACTTGGTATAGGTGCCTTAACACCAACACTTTGATTGTTAGCATCAGCAGCACCAGCAACCCCAACATCGGCGTTCTTGTCAATAACAGGCGTAGCGGGCAGCGCATTGAAAACATGAGAAGCATCCGTGCTAATAGTTGCCGACTCATTCGCAGCATTAGAAGACGAAGGCACAACTTTGATGTTTGTAACATTGGCATAGGTACGAGTAATATTGGCATTAGGAGTCATACGCTTCGCTGGCATAACAGGTGAGAGAGTCGCATTGGTCACTGTTCGCTTTCCATTGCCATTAGCAGCTGGCGCAACAGTTGGATTTGGCAGCGGAGAAGCACTTTGGGAAAAGAGAAACGGCTTATACTCTCACAATTGTTGTCATTGTCGACAGCAACAACGTTAGAACTCACAACAGCACTTTTGATGACATTTAGTTCGGCAGCTAAGGCTTTAATGCAAGAAGCGTTGTTGTTGCCAATGGCGATACTTTGTGTGGTTGAATTTATTTGAGTTTTTAATAATTCTATCTGCACATAAATATCGTTGAATTTCGCATCAAGAACATTTAACACTTTATCGAAGCCTTGCTTTTGCTTGTTTAGAGCCGAATCGAAAGCTTGGCAAATCGATTTAGATGTATCTATACACGTAGAGCACAAATAGCAAATATGGCGATTGAGATTAATCAATCCAAGATCATAGTCAGTGACCTGGCCTTCACAGCAGGAGCGATGGAAACGCAGATTACAGAATCCACTACAAGGCACTATGTTAGCGTCATTTCTTGCAAACCGCTTTTCGCATTTACCGCAGGAGTCGGTCATATTACGAATTTATTGAATTTCACAAGAGCGCGGTAAAAAACACGTCTACACAGCTCGACGACTTTTGTATTATTCTCTCTTAAGCTACTTTAGCTTGATACCTACTTTGTCATAATAATTATGTTATTTATCTCATCAAGTTAATTGAATACAAGTCGGTTAAAGAAAAGAAATTGGTTACAGTAGGGGAGCCCAAGAGGGGAATTTACTCGAGCGCGTCAGATTCCAATATAGGGGATACCCTGCGTCCTGTTGAGTACCTCTGCCAAATCTAAGCCATCTGTGTAGAGCCGCGCGCATAGGACAGCTGATCAGAATAGTGAAAAAATTGATAGGTGGATTTACTCGAGCGCGTCAGATTAAGAAATGGTGGGTTGATCACATGGTGAAAAGTGTGCATTTCAATAATCTGACGATTTGAGCGTGACGCAAGGGATTGGGAGGATCGCAAGCTTGCAAAAAAAAAAAAACGTTACCTTGACATTCACGAGCGCGGCCAATATTTTTTTAATTATGAAGCAAACAGCTGAAGGATAATGGGAAGTATATAATCTGACGATTTCCACAAGCCGGAGTAAAGAAAACCGTCAACAAGGATTGTCGCATGCACTTGCTGTTTTTCAAAACTACTACAGATTTTTCGAAGAAATTTGTTATTTTTTGATTTGTTTGCCGTTTTCCGTTCATATTATTTGACGCTGATCAGAAATAGTAACGAATTTTATCTCCAACTTACTTTCTTTGCTAAGCAGGTAGGTGCTGCTGTCTCTCTGGCCAATAGATGAATGAACGAGAGAAAATGAATGAACAAGTATAAATGTAATTGAAGCTTACATGCGTATGTACATACATGATTTGCATAAATTACAAAGCAAACAAAGCTTAGAAGCTGCTAAGTAAGGTAACATAAGATAATAAATACTAAACAAAGTAACATAAGAAAATGAATACAAAGTAGAGCTGCCAACTAGGCAACATATGGTGTGTTCGTGTCTCATTCCTGATCATGCCTGGCCCCGCTGAAAAGTTATTTTCAGGACAAGGGTAGAACTGCCACCTTGGTTATGGAACGAGTTAAGTCACCATGAGCGGTCCTCAATTTGACGACTCGAACTAATCCGTCCTTGCCAGGATGCACTTCAAATAACCTTCGCTATCGACCATATTGCAGGTGGTATGTTACTTTCCTTGAGAACCACAATATCCCCGATGTTGATGTTGGGATTACGCCGGCACCTTTCGGGCGGTTTTGCAGCGATGTAAGATGTTCTCGATGCCATTGCATCCAGAAGCCTTGGTACATATTCTGGATATGCTGCCAATACTCAAGCCGGTTGATGGGGACCTGGGCAAGATCTCCTTCGGGAACCATCGTGTACGGTCTACCTATGAGAAAATGAGATTGCGACAGATAATTAGTATTGCTGTCAGGCACCACCCCCAGTGGCCGTGAATTGATTACTGCTTCGATCTGGGCCAAAAGGGTGTACATCTGGTCATACGTGAGAATAGTGGTCCCAATCACACGCCGCAAATGAAATTTCACTGACCGTACCCCTGACTCCCATATGCCACCCCAGTGCGGAGCGTTGTGTGGCATGAATTCCATTGAATTTGTTCATCGGTGAGTGTCTGCGAAACAATGTTGTTATGATGTTGCGAACGGAGAAGCCGATCCATATCGTTCAGCGCGCGGGCCGCCCCCACAAAATTTCGCCCATTATCACTGAATATCTTGCTGCATTTCCCTCGACGCAAAATGAAGCGTTTGAATGCAGCTAGGAACCCATCAGTGCTCAAATCTGTTACGAGCTCCATACGGATTGCAGATGTTACAAGGCACACAAACAGGCATATGTATCCCTTGGACGTGCGAGCATTACGTCCCCGATATAATTTCAAAGTTAGCGGCCCAGCGTGATCAACGCCGATATGTTTGAAGGGATGTGCTTGGCGAACACGTATCGCCGGTAAATCTTCCATGAATTGCTGTGTAGAGGTGCGCTTCTGTCGAAAACATTTGATGCAATTATGCGTAATCTTTCGAATCAGGTTTCTAGCTCCCAAAATCAAATACCTCTGCCGCACTATCACAACAACGCTGAGACTCCTGGATGTAAATTACGAATGTGTTCGTCGATAAGTATGAGTTCCGTTGCACGATGTTCCTTTGAGAAGATAACCGGATGATGTGTTTCCGCTGGCAATTCTGAATTTCGAATCCGCCCACCTACCCGTAGTAGGCCGAACTCGTCAACGAACGGAGCTAACTGCAAAAGCTTTGAATGCGAACTCATCTCATCATTTCGTTTTAATTGCTGAATGTCTTCCTGGAAACAGCTTTGAACCTGTTGTAGCCAAAGGACGCGCGCCTCCTTGATTTCATCGAACGAAAGTGTTTTAACGTCAGGCCTGCATGACGTCTTCCGAGCATTGCGAATAAAGCGTAGAACATAGGCTGTAACTAGAACGAGCCACTGCCATGATGATGAACGTTGCATCAATGTGTCAAATGAACTGCTAAGTGGAGATTCCGTAGCCACTGAGCTTAGTACACTGCTCTTCATCTCAGCATTGGCTTCCGGGATCTGGTGTAGTTCTTGATGATTGGTTTCAAACACCAGCTTACGAGTGCGCTTTTCATCGCCACACCAAGGAGGCTCCTTCCACCAGAGATTGAAATCCACAATTGCAGAGGCTGCCAATCCCCTTGACGCGCAATCAGCTGGATTTTCCCTCGACTCGACGTGGCTCCGAACGCTGCGTGGCAAAGTTTCCAAAATCTCAGCTGTTCGATTTGCTACAAACGTTTTCAACCTTACAGAGGGATGAGACAGCCAAGCCAATACAACGGTTGAGTCGCACCAGGCGTATGTTGTTATAGATTTATGCGGCAGCACGTTTAGAATTGTCATTAGCCGTGTCAACAATAGAGCGCCGCACAGCTCCAACTGAGGCAGCGAAATCTGCTTCAGAGGTGCCACTCGTGTCTTGGCGGCCATCAATGATATAGTGAACGTGTTATCTGGACCCTTGAAGCGGCAGTACACAGCGCCAGCGTACGCCTTTATTGAGGCATCCAAGAACCCGTGGAGCTCCAAGTGCGTCGTAGAGTTAACCGTCAAACGAGGTAGCGCCAGCAAGATGCATTGGCAAAGGATCATCTCAACCTAGCTTGTGTAACCACAACTCCTGGAATAGAATTTGAATTGCACCGTCACAGGTGACAGTAATCCTAAAGGATCGAAGATACGGGATGCGTCGGAAAGTACCTTCCTCTTTCTGGAAGTGCGCATATTAGGCGCGCGAGTTTGGTATGTGAGTATATCGTCATTCGCCCTCCATAGCAATCCGAGAACCTTTGTGGCGTCTTTACCCAGCGTGTGTTGCGCGTCATCGTCTTTGCATATGCGACGGCAGTTGGATACCCACTTTCGGAGTTCCAGTCCAGCACCAGCAAGCATTTTCACAAGCTCCTCATGAGCTTTTCAATGAGTTCCTGTTTGGAGTCGGCACCCGTGAGAACATCGTCGACATAAAAGTCATCGCTTACGATTGATCTTGCGCGTGGGAATTGATGCTTATAGTCCTCTGCTCATTGTTGTAATACCCTGACAGATAGATATGGTGCGCAAGCCGTACCATACGTAACCGTGCATAACTGGAAGTGTCTTATGGGATCAGCAAGAGTCTCCCTCCACAAGATCCTTTGGTAGTTTCGATGATGTTCGGCGACCCATATCTGTCGGAACACATATCGGTGCATCCTGAATCGCAAACATACGGAAAACAAATTGCGCTGAATGCTAGGACCGATATGCAAACGCTATTAATAGCAACTCCCCTGCTGTCTGCAAACGATCCGTCGAATACCACCCGAAGTTTTTCACCAAGAGATTCGTTTTTCTGTAGACGAAGCTCGACGGCGTGAAAACGCGAAACAGCGCCCGATAATTCCTCCGCAAACCGCGGTGCTTCCATCTTAAATGGTAGCTCTACAATGTATTTACCGTCGGTATGACGCGTATGCGTGCGTAAGTGCTCTTCTAAGGTTATGTCGTCGGAATCCATGAGTTGAGTTTGACAGGGTTCCTCGATTTCCCAGAAATTTCGTAGAAAGTTATCAACTTCGACTATGGTGTGCAGAGCTTGGGTGGAATCCGCTGAACCCAACCCGTCAATTGCTGAACTGACCACCCATCCAAAAACTGAGGAAACTGCAACAGGATCTCCCTTTGAGTCCAACATTTTGTTACAGGTGTCTGGAATGTGGGATCTGCGAGCCTAACGTGCTTAAGCTGCTCGATCTCTGATGCAAGAATTGGTTTTTTGGGAAGAGATGAGGTGATGTTGCTGAGTATATACGTAGACACATTTAAGACGTTGTTCGACGCGAGAGACTTAAGTACCTGCGAGCAACAGCCTCTAGTGGTTTCGCCTTTTGAGGACGATATACCAGATACAGCGATGCGACCAGCAGAGCGCGGAATGCAAAGCCTCTGGACACAGCGCTCGGTGATGTACGATAGTTCTGATGCGGTGTCCAGAAGTACTCGACATTTCAAAAAACCACCGTGGGCGGTTTGAACGTTAACTATGGCTGTGGGCAGCAAGGCTGTCGATCCCTTACGAAGCGGTGATAGCTGACTTGTGTAGGTGTCAGCTGGTGTCGATGTCAATGAGCGTGCGATGTACGGACCATGGCGTACCATTGTCGATCCTGCTTGAACCAGAAGAGCTTTCTTGACCTGCTCGAGACGCTGTACCTGCGGCCGACGGTAGGCCATGTAGAAGTGTGTGGTGGCGTCGATTACATACCTTACAATTGAATTTAGAACTGCATGTTGATGTCGAGTGCCCTGTCTTTAGACAATTGAAGCACAGCAATTTACCCTTGGCCATCGCTCGCCGGTCATCTGTGCTCAAGGATAAGAATGTTGGACACTTCATGAGACAATGATCTGTGCCATTACATTTAGGACAGCCTGGCTTGGAGGCCGCCCCGTTAGTTGAAACTAGCACCCCGAGTTTCAGAGTTGCGAAGGCGTGCGGGTTGCGTCCTATGTTGGGCCAATTCTAATTCTTCGCAATCAAGTAATTTACAAAATTCCGTTATGGTAGGTACTTTGAGATTTTCACTAGATTCAATCCACTTTCGTCGGGACTCTGAGTCTAGCTTGGCTAGGAGAAGGTAGATAAGCCAGCAGTCGTGATCGTCATGGGATATGGCATGTAGACCCCTGATAACCTCGTTTGCTGCGTCTGATATTTTACGAAGAATTGTAGAATTTTCCCCTGATGACAAGGGGAGTGCCATAAAGTTCTCAATAAATGAGGCGACAATATGGCGTGGGCGATCGAAACGTTCGCTTACTCTGTTCCACGCCGTTTCGTAAGACGCCTCAGTTACCGGAATGTGTTTGATAATTTGCGCAGCGTCATCCCTTAGCAATGATTTGAGATGATGACACTTTTGGGTATGTTTCGATGCAATTGCACTGGTGAATAAGTCCTTGAATGGCGGCCAGTCTTTGTACAGGCCGGTGAAAGGTGGGATGGTAATTTTAGGCAAATCGTTTTTTGCATGTTGTGCTGGAATCGAAGTTGTAGAAAATTTATGAAAAAATGTAGACTGTTGTTCAGCTAGTCGAGATATGGTGTCATCCAAGCTGGGTTGTTGAGTTGGAATCGTAAAGGAATCCTGAAGCGAGCGAAGCAGGTTACGTGCAGTCAAAACCTTTCCATCGTAAACTCCATAGTCTTCGTCTGGATTAGAATATTCGGGACTTTCACGGAATTGATACATGGCGTTTGTGGCTGCAACGAATTCATCCCACGCCTCCTTTAAGCGATCAATTCGTTTTAGAGAACTTGAACCCACAACCAACTTTTTTTTAACACTGCGAAAATTCATAATTTGACTTCGATGGTACTTTGCGAACCCCCGTAGCATATTTTTTAGGCGTTTAAAGCTCACGAGATACAACGATACGACACTTACCGACACCGTTGTGAATACCCCATATATTAAGAAAAATTAGTAGCACATGGTGTAACTTTTAGCTCAACAAATATCAGTTAAAAATTACATTTTTAACTTATTTATGTATGTGAATTTTACTCATTTCTTAGCTAAAACCACTAGGCATAAGAATTTGTATGAAAGAAAAACAAGATTTTTTCAGATAATTCTTAAGTTTACTTATACATGAAAAACTTTGGAACTCCGCTCCCTTCTTGCTCACTCTTTATATAGTATCAATAGACTGTGTGTCCCCTTACTCCTTTCCGTCAGCCATTACGCAATCATGGGCGATCAAAGCACTCGTGGTGTTACATGAAATATAACCTTTGAAATTTTACTAACTAAATTTTGTGATTCATGATGAGTGAAAACGGTTTTTGTGTGTGTGTAGATCAAATTCTTGTCAAAAAACTTGTTGGATTATTCAAGGCGGTTCAGGTATAATACCTTGTAAATTCTATAATGACACTTGTCATTTATTTAACCTATATATGTATATAGAATAATAGCCATTTTGGCTGTTTGGACTTAACTCAAAAATTACGGAGTCGAGTTACTTATAAAAGCAGTATTTATGAACCGATTTTGTTAATGCGAATTCGAAACGTTCCCGCTCCCGAACTACTTACGTACCAGGACTAACAAATAACCAGGCGCTCAGGAAAACAATAAATAATGAAGACATTATATATGTTCACAGACCGCACAACTCAATAAGCAAACTGTTCACAAAAAACAAAGGGCAAAATTCCGAAAGAACAACATAATGTGGTGAATCAAATATAACGGGTTGGAATGCGATACAGAAAGCTGTAACAAATGCTACGTAGGCACAACAAAAAGATCATTAGTTACTAGAATTAACGAACATTGAGCGGATGAGAGAAACCAAAAGATAACAACAGCACTTGCGCAACACTTGACGAAGCACAAACACTTAGCTGACTTCGGGAATACCGGAATTTTGGACATCGAAAGAGGGGTAAAAAGGAGAATGACACTAGAAAGCCTACGTGTACAACAAAAACTAGATAATGCGATTAACTTTATAGAGGACGTGGTCAACACAAACAATGTTTATGCAGCTGTAATTAATATTAAATATAAATAAGAGCATAGGATTAGAATTTTATAATATTGTGCAAAAATACTTAAATGATGCTAACGTTTATCGTGTGAAAATGTTTGTTAACAATATTTACATATGTGAATGTGAGTTTAAAGTCAGAATTAATGGAAAATATTTGTCGTTGTTGAGGACATGGACGAATGAGGCGTTTTTCTATTTATATATTTTTCCCACATATGTATGTATATATAAGTATATCCGGGTACAATAAGCTAACGCTAAACATATCCAATCCCTTGAATTTGTCGTGAATTTTATACCAATATATACATTGTAGTTACTAAATACTAAACATATCCAGACTTTCAATTTTCCCTAAAATTACATGTATACAAATGTACATATTTTATTATAAACGCTCGTACATACATAACACAAATATTAAAAAAGTTTTAAAACGCGAAGTGCTCGGCACTCGCAATCGAACCGTCAGCCCGTTTCTCACCCTTAATTTATATATATACACAAAATTTTACAGTTCAATAAATACCCGAACTGTTACTTATATTACTAAAGAAGGTTAATCTTTTATTTAAACGGAAGTAAACATAGCCCGATTAGGTTGCCAAGAGCGCAACATATGGTCCTCAGCGAGCCATTCGATTTGAATTGGCAGCACTTACGCGCTTAAACTTGCTTAACATAGCGAGAGGGACATTTTTTCGTAAAAGTGAAATCGAGCGGTTGATTGCGAGCGGTGCGCGAAAAAAACATACCAACGCAAAGTGAAAAAATTTAAACAAAATCTGATTCTAAAATAAATAACTAGGAAGACCATTTGATCAGCGCAGTTTATATAATGCATACTTGGTAAAAACTTTTTGGACTCTTTCGATCTTGTTTACATAGGACTGATAGAACGGGTTCCATACCAACGAGCAATAATCTAGGCGGCTTCGAATTAAAGAGACGTAGAGTGCCTTCAATGTCAAAGGATCAGAAAAATCTGCAGTATTGCGACGTAGAAAACGTTAGTCCTGAGTCGAAAATTACGCCCAAGTCCTTAATTT